ATTATAAGTTTAAGAGACAAAAAGAAAGGAAATACAGATAGGAGGGCCAGAGACTGAGAGAACACAATGACAAATTCTAATATATTTGTAATCTAAGTTCCAGAAGTTAAAGGATGAGAGAGAAGATGAGAACAGAGGCAATATTTGAAGAGATAATGGCTGAAAAATTTTGGAAACTATAGAAAGATACCAATCCATAGATTCAAGAAACTCAATTCCAAAGAGTCTACATGAAAAGAAATCTATACCTAAACGCATTATAGTGAAACTTTTCCTAAAGAGAGGACCAAAGCAATGAAAAAAAATTTAAGAGCAGCCAGAGGGGGAAAAACTTGATAACTTTTAGTTAGTTGGCAATGGAAATGAGAAGAAAGTGGAATGATATTTTCAACCTGTTGGGGAAAAAAAATCCATAGAATTCTATACCCAGCTAAAATATATTTTATTAAGGGTGAAATAAAGGCATTTCCATACAACAGATAAACCTAAATTATGAGTGGATCCCCAGCAGAACTTAACTGTTTTCAGTAGATAGAAGGAAAATGAACTCAGATGAAAAGGCTGAGATGCAAAAAAATACATGAAAAGCAAATAAAGAAAGAAAAGTACATGTGTTTATGTTTTTCCATTGTATTCACCTTCCAGCATCAGACACACTCCCTTTTTATGGCTTTGCCACTTGCTCAATTCTTCAGAGCTCCATCTGAAATGGAAAATAAAAGAACTATTACCAAATGCTTTAGGAGGTTGAGAAGAAAGTAATTTCAAGGCCAGAGTATTTCCAGTCACCAGAAAGACTAAGACTACCTTTATTTTGGAATATGTGATGGAAACCACAGACAGAAAAATATGGTTTAGAGGAAACACATGATGGAATCATTTCTAGGCTCTTCTCCTGTCTAAAAACTGGATTACAAAAAGAACTGTCAAGGCAGTGATAAAACAAACAGCCCTATAAAAAATGGGTGAAGGATTTGAACAGACATGTTGCAAAAGAAGATATAAAGATGACCAAAAAAACACTTGATGAGATGATGCTCAACATCATTAGTCATTATGAAAATGCAAATTAAAATTATGAAATGTCACTATACATCTGCCATATAACCCAGCCATCCAACTTCTGGGGATTTATCCAAGTGAAATAAGAACTTATATCTGCACATAAATCTGTATGCAAATGTTTATAGCAGTTTTATTCATAATCTCCCAAACAAGAAATAGCCCAAATGTCCTTCAACTAGTGAATGGATCAACTCTGGTGTATCCATATAATGGAATACTACTCAGCAATAATGAGGAGTGAACTACAAATAATATACAACATGGACGAATCTCAAATGCATTTGACTAAGAGAAAGAAGCCAGATTCAAAAGGCTACACATTGTATGATTCCATTTATTTCAGAAGAAGCAAAATTATAGGGACAGAAAACAGATCAGTAGTTTCCAGAGGCTAGGGGAAGGGGAGGGGTTGACTACTAAAGAGCATGAGGGAATATTTTAGAAGGGACTGTTGTATATATTGATTATGGGTGGTGATAACACAACTGCATGAGTTTTTCAAAACTTACAGACCTTTATAATACCAAGGGTAAGTACTACTGTTTGTACTTTATACCTTTTAAAAAAAGAAGAGAAAATCATGCACCCTCAGGGTATTTTACAATCTCATTCTCTTTGACATGGAAATAAATGCTGTTCATTTGTGGACAAACACATCCACACATATACCCAAAGCATTGGTTATTGTCATGTCAGATTTCCAGAACCATTTCTTCCAGTCCTGTCTCTCCTTTACCAGATGAACCTTCTACCTACTTTACTAAGAAGAATTGGATAAGATGAACACATCTGACCTTTCTCTCCTCCACCTTAAATTTCCTCTTCTTATTCATACGAGGATTCAGGATAACCCCAACCCACCTCAGGGCATTTGTGTTCGAGTAAGGTAAAAAATTTTAAATTGTTAAAAAGTAGAATAAGTTTGTCAAAAAGTATAGTGATTTGGTGGTATGACCAGACACTGGCATCCCTTGATGTTACAAGACAATTTGAGGATGAATTAGCTATTTAGGCTAAGTGGAAGGAGCCAATCCGAAAGGCAACATATGGTATGATTCCATCTATATGACATTATGGAAAAGGCATAACTATGGAAACAGTAAAAAGATCAGTAGTTGCCAGGGCTTGGGGGGAGAGAGGTGGACTGGTGGAGCACAGAGAATTTTTAGGGCAGTAAGACTATTCTTCTGTATGATAATAGTGGACATGTGTCATTATACATTTGTCAAACCCATAAAATGTACAACATGAGTGAACCCTAATGTAAACTATGAACTTTAGTTAATAGAAATGCATCAATATTGGCACATTAATTATAAGAAATGTATCACAATAATGCAAGTTTTCAAAAATAAGGAAAATTGGGAGGGAAGGCAAGGAGGCATATAAGAACTCTTTGTGCTTAAACTTTTTGCTCAATTTTTTCTTTCATTTAAAAAAGTCTATTAATATAAAAAATTAATGCAGAACCATTGAACTTTAGATGTGAAGTTTTAGGAATACTTGGCCAGTTCTCTTTTCCTTGAAATTTCCTTCTTATGTCTACACGAGAGTGATAAGCCATAATTCATTGATCCTAAGACACATATTTTTTTTAGATCTTTTCATCAGAATGCATCTTAAAATGTGTAGCATTTTAGATTTGATGAAATATGGTATGATAAAATATTTATCTAAATAAGTCTAAAGAAGCTCTTTCAATACATATTAAATAAAAATCTAAGATTAGAAAGCATTATTCATAGTTTAATTGGTGTTTGTTTTTCTTTTTAAGTAGGGTTTAAAATGATAGCACATCGTATAATTGATGGTGCTCAGATTAGATTAAATGTAGTATATGTGTACACTATAAAAATTGGCTAGATGATTCATATTCATCTATTGAATGATGCTTTTAGGGGTGGAGATTAAGATTTGAATTATGATGCCTTATTTTTTTGTATTTAAAAATAAAGCAATGGACATAAAATGTTAACAATGATCAAATATGAGAAGGAGTGTTTTATTTTGTATATTCAAAATACTTTATTTTCTATATTCAAAATTCTAAATAACAAAACAGAAATACCTGGAAAAGAAAATCCAAGAGCATGTCAGGAAACTTCTGGAGCAGGCTTGCAGCCACCAATTTTATTTGCCGGGGAGGATTCTTGGACAATCAGGGGATGGTGGAACTCAAGGGGGGAAAAGTCTGGCAGGCAGATTCGAAAAGACAAATATTGCATGATTCCACTCATATGAGGTACCTATAATAAATAAATTCATAGAGACAGAAAGCAGGATACTGGTTCCCAGTGGCTGAGGGTGGTGGGGGCAAGGGGGTGTTATCATTTAATGCGTACAGAGTTTCAGTTTAGGATGATGCAAAAGTTCTGCAAATGCACATGGGTGAGGACAGCAAGACCTTGTGAATGTACTTAAAGCCACTGAACTGTGTGTTTAAAAATGTAAATTTTCTGATGACAGAAAATCTGAGTAAGCAAGATTTATATTTTGGGCATGCTGAGTTTGAGATGGTCAAAGACATCCAAGGTGAGTAACACCTTGGTGAGTAACAATCCAAGGTCAGGGGAGCAATCATGGGCGGTAGAGGCAGATTTAGCAGACGCCATGATGGAGCTGGAGGGCTAGAGAGAGCGGTCATTTCCAAGCCCAGAGCCCTCCAACACTCAGAAGAGGCACACCCAGTGAGGTAGGAGGAAAACCAGGAGAGGGTGGACTGAAGAAGCTCGGAACAGAAAGCCTGCCCAGCAGGATGCAGTGGTCATCTGTCTTGCATGTTTCTGAGAGTCTGGCTGAGGTGGGGACCAGGGGATTTGGCACCGCAGGAGTCGTCGGCATTTCAGCAGAGGGATAAGCAGGGCAGCGTCCTCAAGTGGGTGGGAAGGGAATTGTGGTGATGGGAATGATGGGAACTATTTTTAAGCCTTTGAAGAAGCTTTGCTGGGAATATTAGGTGGGGTAGCTGGAGGCAGATAAGGAATCTAGGGTAGGCCCCACCCTTTTTAACGATGAGAGGCACTGGAAAAATGCTGGCTTGCTTGTGGGAATGGTCCACTATTCCCTTAAGAGAGGGACTAGGGGAAGAAACAGGAGGAGGACACAGTGGTGTGAATGGCTTTGGGGTGGGAGCGGAACACCTTTGTCTCTGAGGAGATGGAGAGAGAAGACCCCGGGGGGTCTGCAGATTGGGTGGTGGAAAGAAGACAGCATCTGTTTCCTTACCCTCTGAGCTGGGCAATGTGGGGGTGTTGGATGTTTGAAGGCATAGAAGGGGTAAACAAGTCAGAGTGGAGAGTGGGAAAGGGACGCTCGTGGAAGTGTGGCGGGCCCGGAGGACAAGGCAGACTGCGCCGTGGAGTATAAAGGGAGACCTGTGACAAGGCTGAGTGACCTTCCCTGGCAGTGGGCAAGCTCGGGCAGGTGGGTCCAACTCAGCTGTGACCAGCAGCAGGAGCATCACCCGGGAACTTGTTAAAAATGCAAATGCCCAGGCACCACTCGAGACCTATTGAATCAGAAGCTCTGGGGCAGGGGCCCCCTCCTCTGTGTTTTTCACAAGTCTTCCAGGTGATTCTGAAAGCTTGAGAAGCTCTGAACTAGAGTGAAGGAATCAAGGGCGTTGGGGATGGCCTGCAACTTATGTGCGAAGGGCTGCCCTTCTCGGGGCAGAAGTTCCCAGGGCTGTGAGCACCGGGTGTGTCTTCTCTCTTAACTAGAGACAGATCTATAAGCAAACCCCGGAAACTGCCAAAACCAGAATGACATTTAAAGGAACTCTAAGCTTTCTAATGAAAGATTATTTCGCAAGGCAAACAACATCCCTTCACACGTGCTTTTTTTTTTTTTTTTTCCCCCAGAGTCTGAATTTGAATATTGAGTTTCTTGCTCGCGGTGTTTTGAAAAGACCCTGGATTTTCCTTCTCTCCCCAGGTCATGTCTTCTGGTGTTGTCACAAGGACCTTCCTGAGGACTGCCCCATCTTTCCACATGGCTCCTTTCCAGTTTTCAAGTCTGTGGGGAAACAACGATGAACTGGCCATTCTCCTATGTGTAGGCCTTTTCCTTCTCAGCTGAAATAGACAAGGATGAGTCAGCTTCTTCCAACCTCCAGCATCTCGCAGTCCTCCCGTGACTCAGAGGATGGTCTGTTTAATGGGTAAGTGCTCCTCCCAGGAAGTTGGCAGCCCCAGCCTCCCCCTACCTGAGTCACTGTTCTCGGGTGCTCCTATCTAGACTCATGGCCATCGAGATGGGGGAGGCCGGCCCAGGAAGATCAGCCATAAGTGGCCCAGGGAGGAGGATGGGCGTTGAAAGGCTAAGGTGCAAGAGGCTAAATTTGTTCCTCATTTGCTGGTGGCTTTGGATGGACCCACAAAGGACCCAGCGTCTCTATTTGAAAATGGGAGAAACTGTGTATCCTACCACGCAGTAGACTCAGTAGCAGCCCAAAAGAAGAGGAGCCCTCAGGGAGTATATCTGGGTGGAGAAACACTTTGGAGCTTTCCTGAACAAGAGGAAGGGAACCCTAGGGGCGGTCCATCTTTGCAGATTTATTGCACAAGCTGTATCCTGAGCAGAGCCTGCAGGGGGTGGGGAGGCCTCCATGGGAGGAGGGGCAGGAGCTCAGCCATGGGGAGGCTGGCTAGAGGCAAGGGACTTTGGCAGGTAGGGGCGCCTGGGAGCACTGTTGGGGGCCCAGAGCAGCTGGTAGAAACACAGCAGGCTGAGAGCATGCTTGGTACTGCCTGAGTTGCTGGTTCTCACTTTCTTCTTTCTCTGTCTCCTTCACTGCCTCCCTGCTCTGTCTCTATCCATCTTTGTCTCTCTTTGTCTTCTCCCCAACCCTTTTCTCTCCTCCCACCGTCTCTCCTACATCAGCATAGTGGAGGCTCCCCTCCCTGTGGGTTGAGTGTTTTCTTTCCTGTTTAGATGGTGACTGGCATCCATCTGCTTATGATGGCAGCAATCAACCCATCCTGTTTACTTGTCGCTGACACAGTGGCTGTGGTCAGTGAGGCCATCTGCCACAGCCCCCCAGGGTGGGGTGGGGACCCAGATGCTGACACGCACAGGCAGACACTCAGCCATGACCAGGTTAGTCTGCTCCATGAGAGCCAGGAGGTCCTGGGCTGTTCTGCTCTGATGTCTGATGTGGCATAGCCAGCTGGGCTGAGGTCACCTCCTCTGCTGCTGACGTTCATGGCCCAGCATGCTTGGCACAGACTCAGGGCTCAGAGACAATCTCCTGACTGAAGCTGAGTGCACAGTGCACAGCTCCTTAAAGAGCTGGGAGGTCTCAGAAGTGAGAAGGGCAGGGCCCACAGGGATCAATGTTAGAAGGCATTTTGCTCGGAGCTCTCATTTTCACACGGGGGAGTTAGGACCAGAGAAGGCAAAGGGCTTGTGAAATGGGTCACCCTTTACCACATCCCCTCTCTGCTCAGCATCTCCTGCTTGGGCCCCTCCCTCCTAATTCAAGTGATTAGAGCTGCACGTTTTAGTGTGTTTTCCTTGGTATCCCCAAATCTTGCGCAGTGGTACTGTTGAGGGGTAGGCTGGAGATGGTCCAGGTTTCCAGGGCTTGGTGCTATGAGCAGGGAAAGGGGCAGGGGAAAAGCCAGATCTGGGAGTGTAGGTGGTGGTGGTCGTGGACCGTTAAATAGAGGCATGGAGGAACCAAGGCCAAGAAGATGAGGTTCTCTGTTTTCTATATGCTTCCTGGGACCTGACTCCTAAACTCTGAGCACAAGGGCCTTAGCAGACAAAGATGCCAAACATAAAAGCCAAGAAACGAAAAAAACTCACAGAAGCTGAGAGTGTAGGTGGATGCCCTTTGATGCCTCGACGAGGTTCTTGGAATTCTTGAGGTCATAAGAGTCTGCTTCAAGGCGAGATTGCATGCCATGTTTGGTGAAGAGCCAGACAGACCTGGGCTTGGTGGGCCCGACTCTGCCACTCACAGCTGTGTGACAAGCCCATGCTTCTACTTAAGAAATTGTCTGAAATTCGGATTGAACTGGGTGTCCTATATTTTTATTTGCTAAATCTGGCTACCCTCCAAGCTTCCCAAATGTAGGCCCCTCACCCCCAGCCTGAGGCCATCAGTAGCTAATCCTGAGTTACTTGGAAGTCTGGGATTTCACTTTAAAAAACTTCAAGTCTAAGCTCATCTCCATCTTTCTATCCTTGTTTTATTATTAGCACCATGCTCTAACCAACTGAGCTAACCGGCCATTTGTCTATCCTTGTTTTGCCATAAAACAGACACTAAATTATCCTGGTTAAAAAGCAAACATCTCCCCCCTGTTTACATCTGATTGTGGATTAATTAAGATCCTGCTCATCCTGAATGGCAGACTGTCCAGGTGGATGGAAGGAGGATCTGGGCCACACATGTAGTCCTGGTGTTTTGCACCGGGCACAAGTAAATGGGGAAATAGGCAGTGAGATTTTCCAAAGGTCACATCTGTTCAGTTTAAAGGACTCCACTTGTGCCTTTCTATTTTGCTTTTTTGATATGATTGATTGTCTTTTTTTTTTTACCAAATGGGAATTAGTTAAAAAATTTTCCCTTACTTGGCAAGATAAAGGCAGGAAGAGAGTCAGAGCCTCCAGAAAAGTGTGGAGGAGCCAAGAGGGTACCAACCAAGGGTGCTTTTAGAGCAGTGGCTGTACACTAGAATAGGCAGAATGCCCACGTGTACCGCAGACTCCCTGCATCAGACCCTTTGGGGGTGGGACTGAGACATCAGTGCTTTTAAAGCTTCCAGGTTATTCCAATGTGCAGCTGAGGTTGATGGCATTGCTTTGGAGCTTTGCTACTCAAAGTCTGGCCTGAGGACCAACAGCATCGGCCTCATCTGGGAGCTTATTAGAGCTGCAGAATCTCAGGCCCCACCCCAGGCCTGCTGAGTCAGAACCTGCCTTTTCAACAGGGTCTCCAGATTCTTCATTTGCAGTCTGACAAGTCTGGCTCTAGTGTACCTGTTAGGAGCCTCAGCTTGATGGGGTGGTCCCAGCAGCAGCTGGCTTCCTTCAGTGGGAACCTGAAGGCTGCAGGTGCTAGTCTGGTCATCAGAGCCTGCTGCAACATCTCCCACTCTTGGGCGTGCTAAGTTGGAGTCTCACCCACAGTACTGGAAGTTGCATCGTCTGCCTGTACCTTTTAGTGTCCTTTCATCGGCACATCACTGTTCTATTGGGACAACCATACAGTAAACCAAGGATTACCAAGATTTAAATATCAGGGACTCCTGTCCTGGTGGAGAAACCTAAGGACACCAGTGAGGATACGTGGAGAGGACAAGAGGAAGTACAGAGGGTGAACCTGACCTCAGATGTAATATTCATTTACTCCATGGCCATTCAGGTCTGGCTTTGAGCCAGGTACTCTTGTTTTCTCTTTCTGCAATTGGATTAGATGGAATTGACATAATTTATGACATCACCCATAAAGGCTGGGTGAGTGAGGGTTGTCTCTATCAGTTGCTGCAACAGTGCTGTGTAAATAACAACCATGAAACCTCAGTGTCATACAATTAGTTTCTATTTCTCCTGTGTATATGGGTTGGCTGGGATGGCTCTGCTGATCTCATGCATCTGTAAGTTGGAGGGGTGTTGGCTGGTCTAGACTTGGACTGGATGTTTCAAGATAATGGTCTGGGTGAGTTTTGTTCAAGGTTCTGGGTTGAGCTCTTGTCTGCTCCTTGCGTATTCATTCTGTGGCACCAGGATGACAGGCAGTAGTTATCCAGGGGAGCATGTCTAATGGAGGTGATGAAAGCATAAGAAGGAAGTGAAACATGCAGGAACTCTTAAAGCTGAGCAGAAACTCTCAAAACTGAGACACTACCACTACTACTCCATTTGGCCAGAGAAAGCCACATGGGTCAAGCCCATCAGTGGGTGGGAAAATATACTCAAACTCTATGAGTCCATGGCAAGAATGTGGATGCAAAATATCACTCTGGGAAGTGAAAAATTGTGACCAGTAAGTCAACCCACTATATCCTCCAACCAGGAGTGACACTTCCTTGGGGATACATCCCTTCTAGAACAGTATAAACTCACTCATGGCAGATACTGCTGCCTATTCACCAAAAACCCTTTCCTACTCTTCCTGTGCTCGTAGCTAGAGCACATTTCCCAGACTTCCTTGTAGTTAAGTGTGACCAGATGACTGGTTTTGGCCAGTGGCATGGGAGTAGGAAAAAAATGTGAGTCATTTCTCAAGCTAAGGTTTTCTCCTGCTCCTGGTTTTGTGCAGGTGACTACCAGACCCTAATGGTTGATGGAGGCACACGTTTGGAATGAGCTTGGATCTTTGAATCACTATGTGAAGGAAAGCCATTACAAAATGGAAATACCTCTTTATTATGTGGGTAAGATATGAATTTCTATTATGTTTGAACCACTATATTTTTGTGTCTCTTTGTTACTGTAACTAATATACTTCTTAAAGCCTTTCTTTGTTACTTTCCAATCATAACACAGGGCAACCCAACTCCCTGTGGTGGTGAGTATGGAAGTGCTTTGTAAAGTGTTCAACATGTGTGAAGTCTAACTGTGATCAATGTTTCAACACAAAATGGAGTCTAATTCAGCTGTATAGATGTGGTGGAGACAGATGTTAATAATTGCTGGCACCTGGAAGGGGCCTGATGGCTTGGACATCATTTTTCACACCCTTTATTCTTTTTAATCCTCACCACACCTTGAGAGACAGGATTTTATCATTACCCTTGCTCTAAGGATGACAAAAGGGAGTCCACCAAACTTTCTCAAAGCCTCACGTTTGGTCAGGTGCCTGAACCTGACCTTCCCCTTGGTGTTCTGGGGGGAAACAATGAGGAAACTTCTTAGATAAAATCCACTTTGCACAATCAGTCTCTAAGGGCCCCCTTGAGGGGATTGGAAAGTTTATAACCAAGGCTCCTGGTGGTGGTGGTATGATTTGTAAGGAGCATTGAAAGTTCCAGGCCCTAGTTGAACCTGCCTACCCCAAGAATCTATTCTCAAAGATAAGAGAGAGGTATTCCTGGGGTTCTGCTTTATGGTACATTATCTGCAAAGATGGCTACCAAGGATTCCTTCTGTATCTGTATGCACACTTGTTATTGGTTGAATTGTGTCTCCCCAAGGACATGCTAGGTATGTTGGAGATATGTTAGAATCCTAACCCCTAGTACCTCGGAATGAAATATATTCGGACATAGGGGTTTTACAGAGGAAGGAAGTTGAAGTGAAGTGATTAAGGTGAGCCCTGATCCACTGGTATCCTTATAGGACTGGGAAGTTTCAGCACAGAGATAGGTATATACACAGAGGGAGAACTCATTTGAAGAAGATGAAGGGATGAAGGCAGAGACTGGTGTGATGCATCTCCAAGTGCAAGATTGCCAGCAAACTGTCAGAAGCCAGGAGGGAGTGATGGATCAGATTCTCCTTCATCAAAAGAATTAACCCTGCTGATGCCTTGATCTTGGACTTCAGCCTCTAGGACTGTGAGACAATACATTTCTGTTGACTAAGCCATCCAATGGGACTTTGTTGCAGCAGCCCTAGTAAACACAACACTCCATTCTTCCTATCAAGACATGGAGTCAATTTATCCTCCCCTGAATCTGGGCTTCACTTTCTGCTTTTCTGTAGCCAACAGAATGAATGTGGCAGAAGTAATGAATTGGCAGTTCTGGCCCTGGGTCTTAAGATGCCTGGAAGCTTCCATTTTCACCCCCAGAGGGAAGCCAGGCTGTGCTGTTGTAAGGAAGCCTCAGCTATTCTAGAGCACATGGAGGGAGAAGCAGCCCCAGCTAAGCTTCCAGCTGCTGTCCCTAGCCAATATCACATGCAGCAGAAGAACTCTCTAGCTGAGCCCAGTCAATGAAAAGAGTTGTAAGAAATAAGAAATCCTTGTTGTTTAAGCACTAAGTTTGAGTGTGGTTTGTTATGTAGCAACAGACAGCTGCAATGTCCTTTGGCAAGTTGTCCAGTGTGTCTGCTGCTGTGGTCTCTAAAGCCAGATGCCTCCAGGACCACCTTGTTGTTGTGAGGGTTGAGCATCCTCTTGAATGGATTCTGGGTGATCCCTGTCTCCTCACACTTTTCATTTCCACCTAAAAATCTTCAGTGGTGCATCTGGTAGGAGGACCTGGATGATGCCAGCCCTCTAGCTGCAAAGGAGACTGGGAAAGAGTGTTTCTGGCTTTGGAGTAGGGTATGCAGCATTCATGACATGGAAAGTTCTTCAAAGATAGGAGGATGTTCAAAAGGTACGGGGCACACCCAAAACATGATGAACGTCCTCAACAATGGCCAATGTATTTTGTGAACTTTCTGTGTGCTTGGTACCCAGCTCTGGGCCCATTCACCTTCTAATTGTAAGCAGTGCCCTGATGTCACCCTTCCTCACCGAGTCCAGGGTTGGGCATGCAATTCAGGCCCAAACAATGATATGTGACCCGGTCAGAGCCAACTTGGTGTAACCTGGCTTTTTTGCTGAAAGAGGACTTGGGCTGTGAGGGTGGAGCTTAGAGCTGCTGGCCACCATCTTGCTACTGCAAGCAACAGAGATGAGAGGTGAGGAGAGGAAGGTGAAGTCTTGATGATAGTTTCTGAGCCTCTTGGCACCTGGGTTGGTCAATGGTAATTGGAGTCTTCTGTTATATGAACATACAAGTTTCCAATTTGCTTACACCAAACCAATTTGATAGTTTCTCATCATTTATAACTCATCAAGTCCATATTAATATTCTTATTCAATACGACTCTTTAGAGTAGGTATTATTTATTAACCCTATTTTACAGATAAGGTAAGGAAAGCACAGAAAGGCTACAGTGAGGCAGAATTCAAACCTAGCAGTTCTAATATTGAAAGTCCACCTGTAAATATTCTGTTTCCTTGGTGGTAAGAGAGGATTCATAGAAGAGGGTATGACATTTAACTCATCACTTCACTCCAAGGGGACATAGTGGTTTGTTAGGAGGGGATAGAAAGGCTTTTAGGTGGTGGGAATTGCTTGGGCAATGATAAGGCCTTTTCTACTGAGAAGCCATATATGAAATTCATCATGTCCCTGCTCTGTAGCCTACCTCAAAGCATGTCACTCCTGCAGGGGAGCATCAAATCCCATTTCTGCAGAGGCTCATCTACCCTCCTGGCCTCTGAACCCATGCAGACCTATGCTGTGCCCTGGGGCCTGGTGGGTCCCCTGAGGGATAGAGGTGAAGTAAGGTGCCCTCCTCAGTCTGAAAAACAGTTCAGGGCAGGGGCCTGGCTTCCTCTGAAGGCCTCTCCCCCTTGGACTGGGTCTCTATAAGCCCCAGAGGCCCTGGAGATGCTCATAGTGTTAAATAGAATGAAATTGTCAGAGACCAAACATCCCTCTGCTCCCTGCCCCTGCCCCCACACTAGAACAAATGAGAAACTATACAGGGGACCAGAGCAGTGCTTGCAGAATCTCAAATGGAAAACGAACAAATAATTTTGAAATAATTATTGAAAAAAGAAAAAAGGGACCCCTACACTTATATGTGCTTTGGTTTTTATTAAATCAAGGATGAGGTAGTGGGTACCATCGGCTGCGAAGGGACAGGCTGTGCCGATTTGAGTCACTCCCCTCCCCCAAGCTCCCACAATGCCCCTTCTTTTTTTTTTTTTTTTTGAGAGGGCATCTCTCCTATTTATTGATCAAATGGTTGTTAACAACAATAAAATTCAGTATAGGGGGGGTCAATGCTCAATGTACAATCATTAATCCATCTCAAGCCTAATTCTCGTCAGTCTCCAATCTTCTGAAGCATAACGAACAAGTTCTTACATGGTGAACGAATTCTTACAGAGTGAATAAATTCTTACATGGTGAACAGTACAAGGGCATTCATCACAGAAACTTTCGGTTTTGATCATGCAATATGACCTATAAACCATCAGGTCAAATATGAATATTCATTTGATTTTTGTACTTGATTTATATGTTGATCCCACATTTCTCCTATTATTATTATTATTTTTATTTTTAATAAAATGCTGAAGTGGTAGGTAGATGCAAGATAAAGGTAGAAAACATAGTTTAGTGCTGTAAGAAGGCAAATGTAGATGATCAGATGATCAGGTGTGTGCCTATGGACTAAGTATTAATCCAGGCTAGACAAGGGCAGCAAGACATCCACGGATGCAGAAGATTTCTCTCAAAGCAGGGGGGGTGAGGTTCTGAGCCTCACCTCTGTTGATCCCCAAATTCTCACCTGATGGCCCCCCTGCGACTGTGCCTGTCTTAGGTTGTTCCTCCCTTGAGGAATCTTACCCGTCTCTGGCTAACCAGTCATCTTCCGGGGCCATACAGGGAAATGTAAAGTTGGTAAGTGAGAGAGAAGCCATATTGTTTGAAAAGGTTAGCTTTTTACTTCTTTGCAGATTTATGCCCTGTGGCTTCTATGCCCAGCACTTGTCTCGAGGTATCTTTACCACCTGGAGGAATTATGATACTCGGTAAATTCGATATGAGGCACGAATTCTATTTAAGGGTTGTAATTAGGAAGGAAGAAGAAAAGCTATAGAGGTAGCATATGGAAGGAAACATGGGAGGATTGATTATTTCTTTGACATATCTTCTTGTAGAGTACCTTAAGTATGTATAGGTTTTAAACTACTAACTAATTTGCACACACATATTAACATAATAGGAATACGGTGACATAAACAAAGCAAATCTATAATTACCATCCATCTCCAGTGAAGCCAAGAAAACCATTTAGGCACCCTAGCAATGCCCCTTTTTTTGAGGATTTGAGGTTGACAATCAGAGGTCTCAGGCACAGATGGGGTGGCTGCATCACTGTTGGGGAGAAAATGAGATTGGAGGTGACCCCTGGGGATGAGCCCCCTGATCCCAATTGAGATCCCGTGGAGGGTTTCAGGTGGAGAGAGGGGCTCCCTTTCTTTCGAAAGAATGGTTCCAAACTCGGCGGGTAAACCGAGGCCCGCGCATCCTGGCTGATCGTTGCCTCTCGGGCCGCCTCTGCCCTACGTTGAGTCCACCCTAGGGCGGGAAGGGCCGGATGGCTGCGGGGATGTGGGGACGTCTGGAGCCCAGCTTAAGGAGGCCCTGTGGGGTGCCAGTAGGGAGCCCTGGGCCCGGGGTCCGGAGGCAGGGCCACCGCGGTACTTAACCCCGGGGCTTCAGCTTCCCTGCTCCCGGCGGGGCGGGCTTGGGGAGGAGCTCGGCGCTTCCCCGCCTCGAGGCGGAGCGGGGGCCGGGCCCGAGCGGGCCGGGCGGGGTGGGCCGGGGACGCGAGGCGGAGCGGGGCTCCACACAGGCCGCGGCGGCTGGCTCGGGCCCCTAGGTCCCGGCGGCGGCTGGAGGAGGAAGCCAGGCGCTTG